GGGAGAAGGGCTCCCTTAGGCTTCACATGGAGTTTCACGCCTTTATTTCAGTACTGAGGCTCCATTCCCCAAAGGGTGTGGGAAGTGCTGAAGAGGGTAATGAAGCTCAGTGCCATCATCTCACAGCACTGGTGATTCCTGGACTACTTTTAGTGTCCTTCCTCTTTTAAATGTGGGGCTCTGAAAAGAGGAGGACTTGACCTGTCTCGTCTTCAATTTGATGCATAAAGAAAGAGTAAAAGGAAAGGCTCAATGCTGAAATGTTGTTCTTTACTGTATGATACTCTAAAAATAATGATACTCTCTTGCAACTGGTGTGAAGGAAGATTAGGTCTTGCTTGCTCCAGAGGCCAGCTGATGGTGTCAAGGAAGTAAAAATATTCATTTTAACCTTATTGGTCTCATGTGAGGCTGCCATGCAGTTGAGCAGAAAATAGACCTTTATTTCTTGCTTTCTTTCTTCAGAGAGAGTGGTTAACACATTGACTAGAACTCTGCCAAAGATGCAGGAGCTGTGGTATGCACTTGAGCCTGTGAAGTTCACAGCTACTGTGTGAAAAGGAAATTTGGGTGACACACCTCACCCTTTTTTACAAGCTGAACATCTGAAATTTGGGTGACACACCTCACCCTTTTTTACAAGCTGAACATCTGAAATTTTTAATTCCTTGTAACACTTAGCTACAATTTTGCCATAATGCAATTTAGATTTTTGACTGTGCTAGTGTGTAGCAACTGGGTGCAGTATATCCAACAACTTATTAAAAAGAAAAAATGCAGACCAGACCAAAAATTTTGTATGGTATGGCTAGAATCTGCTTGTATGGTTAGAATTATTGCAGTTTGAAGCTTGTGTTCTGGATTTCTTCCAGTCTGGTGACCACATATGATGCAGCCTGCCTTCTTCAACATTTGGATGACATTTGTTCTTTCAATAGTTTATTTAATTGGAAAAAAAAAAAAATAAAAAGGAAAGCTTTAATGTCACAAAGTGCCAGGCACTGCAAATGGTACATGAAGTCCTTTTTCACTGATGTTTTAGTCCTAATACCCAGTGGACAGAAGTTGTCAGGAAGAACATCTGACAGCTTGAGCTCCTGAGTGGCTCCTGTGTGTTTCCCCAGGAGCGTCCTTGGGCAGTCGGGATTAGCTGCAGCATTCTGGGAGGGCTCCAACATATCCCTGGGGGCTGATTTTTTTATAACAAGGTGAATTGAGTGACTTTATTTAAAGGCAGGGCCTAAAATACCTAGTTTTTGATTTTATAATTGTCACTGTAGATGTATGTTTTTAAGTACGATGAATTTTAAGGATATGGATTTTTAGGATAGGATTTAATTTATGGAGTAAGTAAGAATGAGTGAAACATTGATGGCCTCCACTGTGAAGGATTAAGGGTTCATTGCTGGGAAAACCAAACTGGCTTGGTTGGTTTGTGGGCTTTGGTTGGTTGCTTTCTTTTGTGTGGTTGGTTTGGTTTGGCTGTTTGTTTGTTTGTTTGTTTGTTTTGAGGGGAATGTGTTTTTGTTTTATTCTCAATACCTGAAGCTTAAGCACAGTAGTTTTCCATAATTTTTTACCATTGTATTTACCAGTCAGAAACAAGGAAATCAAATCTTCCTTTAATTATTTTAGCCACCCAACTATTTAAAAATTGGACTCTTTGAGCCAAGTAAGTTGTATTTGCCTTTGCTTTGTTTACAGTGCACAAGCACCTGGTTCTGGTTGATAGCCAAGATCTAACTCAGAGTATTCTATCTTCTATAAAGTTGGTAGTTTTAGAATTGTATAGCAAGCCTGGGACTCCCTCCTCATTCTCAGTTCCCAATGGAGTTCAGTACCTCTTTATCTGCTGTGCCTGAGGACTGCAAGTTTAATTTTTAAAGGTGACAGTGATCTTGGAATGCATTTTTTTATCCCTCTGATTCTTTGGCATATTCTATATTTACCTCTTTACAATGCTGGTTTATATGTGATTTCATGTAAGTAAAAATAGACTGCAACAATCTCATCAAAAAAAGACATAAAATATACTTTTCAGAGAAAATGTGCAATAACAGCCAGCTTGTCCAGTTTTTAGCCTTAAGTGTTTTTCTAACTATTTTTAAAATATTTTTGTCATTATGTCATGTCATTGTGCATATGTTAATGCATTTCTGAAAGCATGTTTTTTCACATCTCTTTACCTTCCCTCACAGTAAAAAGTGGCAATACAAATATAGTTTGAGCAAATTCTGTGGGTTTTTTTCCAAATAAGGTTAGTTTTTTTTCTGGTTGAGATGTTTTGGGATCTCTGCCAAAAGATTTCTACCTCAGCTTGGTGGGTAGTTTTTCCTTTCCTTTCTTTGCAGTCTCTCTGAACTGTGATGCCAGGATTATGAAATATGTTTTGAAGATACACGCGCTGAAGTAGTATCTGTGTGAAAGGCAAGTAATCAACAGACATTTTTACTCCTTGTCTGACATTTACACACGGCTTTGTTGTCTCTCTTCAGACTGTCACATCAGATGTGCTGTTCTCTCAGACTCTTTTTGCCATTTCTGGTTCAAGAGCGGTTTCTATTCTCTTCTGACAAGCTGCTTGTATAAGTACCTTTTAGTTTTACACAGTCACACATGGCAGAAGTATTTTGTGTATTTGGATTAGTTGTGATTCCTTTTTTATTTTTTCATTTAGCTCAATTTTTTAACATTTTTGAAGTGAGAAAAATGCTTGTAACTCCCTTTTTCTGTCAAAGAAAAAAATGGTACATTTATGATTTACATTTGCTTGTCAAGGAAAGTGGGTTTGTTCATTTTATGGCATGCTAGGAAATCTGTAAAAAGTCTCATAATGAACAGAAAGCTCTAATAAAATTGTCCAGTTCATGTGGACAAATGGCAGGGAGTTTACTGAATATGAGTAGCCTTCAATTTGACTCAAAGACAAAATCCACAAGGAAAAAAGAAATTAATTATTTTTGATGCCAAGGGTTGCAGTGTCTTGGAGCAATTGACTGCTGAAGTTTCTAGCAGTTGAGGCCTAAAAATGTGAAATCAAAGGCTGGGGTGGCACAGGGCTGGGGAGAGGTTCCTAAAAAAAAGGGAAAGCCTGATGGCTTGGCCATCCACTGATGGATGACTCCAGCAGCCCAACCTGATAGAAACCACCCTCTCTGGGGTGATCCAAGCAGTCAGTAATGTTCAGTGGGATTCTCTTGGAAAGGGCTTTGGATGATGTCTTAGCTGTTTCATCACATCTTCATCTTTTTCTCTCCCCAAAATATTAATTACATTTAGTGCAGAGATAATTTTTGATACAGGAAATGGCAGCTAGGTCTTTATGGGACAGTGAGAGATGGTTTCTTCCGAGCTCCCTGCTTTGGCCTTTGCTCCTGCTCAGGGGATGTTTTCCAGCAACAGGGACGGACAGGAGCATTTACAGGTGTGATTCCTCTGCTGAGGAGTTTGACCTGCTGCTCCTTTCTCCTTCCAAAGGCTCAGCTGTTCACAGCCACCATGGCTGCTGCTGCTTTGGGGGGCATGTTTTATGTTTCACTGAGCTGACAGGAGGGAAAACCATTTTCCCTGTGCTGAAAGGAAGCCCTGGTGGCTGGGATCCTGAGAATGGAAGCTTCCCTGTCACCTGTCAGCTCTGTCAGCATGTAACATGAGCTGTCAAAATAGGTGGTGAAGGACCAGCTGGCAGAGCAATGTTCCTTGCTTCCTGTGAAGCAGTGTAATCTGTAAGCTTCCTCCTTTCATGTTTGCTGCTGAAACACACGGTCTGCAGGGTTATGGCTAAAGCAGGGATGTGTTCCCAGCCTGGGCTGGGAGTGCAGCAATCCTTCTTCCAGGTAGGAAATGGAGCTCCAGCTGCTGCTCAGAGTGGCAATAGCAGGTAATGCACAACAGTGCTGGGAAAGAAGGAAAGCAGAGATTGGAGTCAGAGTTTGCCACTAAAAAGGAATATATGGCAGCAGTGTAGGGATGAGGCTCATATGGCTCATGTTTTTCACTGCTAGAACATCTCTGCTCTATGTCCAAATGCAAGCCAACGGACAGATTAGTTGAGTTAGCCATTAACTTCTAAGATGCAGACAATCAAGGTACTCTGAGTAAAAGTGGAAATTTAATTCATGATACTAATTCTGTTTCTGTGTTTGGTTCAAAATAAAGCAAGTTTGTGCTGATTTCACTGATAGGATCACTGCTTGCAAAGCTCCAAGAAGCTCTGCTAATGTCTGCACCGTTACTGCACTCAGGAGTAGGGCTACAACTTTTTTTCTGCATCTTCAAATTGTGAAGTGCTCCAACTTCTATTTTTAACTCTCCTAAGTGACATGAGATTAGACATGAAGCAGTAGTCCGCAGCAGCAAGTAATTTTCCTAGAATGGTTGTAGAAACCTGATAAACACAGATCTCTTTTATTGAGATAAGAGAGCAAAGGGGGAGAAGAAAAGGCTGAGCTTGTGGTCTCCTACAGAAATGACAGGTCATGTCACCAGTTCCAGGATTGTCACTGTGTCTGTCTTTCTTTTCCTGCTTTTACTCCCTTCCTTGACTTTTTTTGTTTTGGTTTTTTTTTATCACCTGGTGTTTTCTCTCTTATCTGAATTTCTTCTTCTTCATTTTATTTACCACTCTGTCTTTGGCAATAGTCCATTAAATGGCTTTCATCTGTTGAGGGTTCTTGCTTCTGAATCCAGCTCCTTCAGGACTGAAGAAGAAACCACTTTAGACTGAATAATGTAACCTCTAAAGATCTGTGTGTTCTCCAAGACAACAGCTCCCTTCTGCTGAAGCAGAGTTCAGGGAGCACAAGTGTGTGCACATTCATTTTGAGAGAGGCTGAACCTCTCCAACTTGTCTGTAATATGGTTGCATGTTTAAGAACTACTGGAAATATGACATTTCTTTCCCTCCACCCCAAATGGCAAAATGCTTTCTAAACCACAGCAAAGAATTGGAGTGGAGAGAAAACTGATGACAAAGTCTGGGATTTTTTTTCTTTGCTGTAATTCAGTAGAGTACAGGTCAAGTTGGACAATTTATATTTGTATTTTTAATTTCAGTATGTTTGTATTTATAATCCTCCTACATCACCTTTGTTGTTGCAAGTATATCTGCTATTAATAGAACTTTTGTTTTGTTCCATGTTTTATCTCCCTCCAGCTAGTCCAACCTATCTGTGCTCTCTGAGAAGCACTTTCCATTGCCTTTTTTTTGTATAACTCTTCCTCTTTCTATTTTAAATAATACAAGTGTTTTGAAAACTTACTCAGGAAGGAAGGGCTGGTGATTTTTTTTAATGTTTATTGCTTAAAATCCAAGCTTTAAGTATCTACTCATAATCTGAGTCTGCAGGCGCCATTTGGATATCTACCCATGAGTGATGCTATCCGTGGGTGGGCTTGTTCTGTTTTGTTATTAATGTTTGTTCTTGTTTTTTTAGTGCTGTAAGGCCTAGACAGAGTAGGTCCAGACTGAGTAATCCTGATGATTCTCACTTTTCCTTCAGCTGAAGATGTTTTCTGTGTGGGGAGCCGCTCACTGAGGTTGGCAGGAAGCGTGATGTGACCTCAGGAACACGGCTCAGGTTGCGGCTCCTCTGGTGGCTGCCTGTTTTCATCAGCCTTTCATCCTCCTTTGTCATCAAATGCATCTTCACACCACAGAAAAATGACACCTTCTGCAAATAAATTTAGGAAGTGGTATTTTATGGTGTTGTGAGTTCAAACAGGGCATTTCTACCAGTTGCACAGACTCTTGGCAGGGGCAGGCTGGAGAAAAAATGTTGTTGTCGCTTCACATGTTTTTAAAAACTAATGCTAAAGTCTCTTTTGTGTTCAATTGTAAGCTAGGTCAAAAATAGCCGAATATTCACTCTCCTGTGATTGAACTTTCAAGAAAAAAAAAAAATTAACAGAGAACATAATTTGGTGAGCTTATATACCAAAAAATAAAAAAGGTGTTTAGCGGATTTCTGCTTGGTGGGAGCCTGGGAATTGTGGGAGTGGAGATGGGGGAATCAGTGAAGAAACATGAAAGTGAACTCTTGAGAAGAGTTTTTTCCTTCCATGTGCTCAATTGACAGGTCTGTGTGGAATCAAGCTTAATAAGATCAGGAACACAGGAAGGATGTAATTTTGCCTGAAACTTCATCATCCACACACACGTTTTTCCCATCTGCAGTAGCAGTTCCATAATTTTTGTGTTGGTGTGTGTTGCGAGTTTTCCCATCCAAGAAGAAAGCTTGATGAAAATCAGAAGTCAAATTCAAAAATATTTACAAGTTTACTGAACCCCTGTTGACCTGGTGAGTGCCTCCTTGGCAAGGAACCAAAAGGTTGGAATAAAACCAGTAGTTGTTGCAGAAGACCTGTTACATACTAGGAAAAAAGTAAGCTACAGGATTTAAATAAATGTATTTATTTACCTCTTAATGGTTCACAGGTTCAATAGTTCTTTTCTCTTAGCAAACTGTTTTGGTTCACTTTTGGCTTTCACTACAGCTCCATAAGAGGGAAATAGAAGTAATACTGGGACATGGTATGGAATGTGAATAAAAGAATTAATGTGATCTCCCATGGATTCGATGAAGACTTAGAGATGAGTTAAAATCTTTCTACTGTGTGGTAGAAATGCTAAATGTATTAAGGTCACTTGGGATTTCTGGCTTAGAAATTTGTGGGGAGTGTAGACGCCTTTAGTTTTGGGGTGTTTTTTCCTCTGAAAGATGGATCACCATTTCCAAGTGCAGAGAGGCTACAGGCTGTTGTATCCAATTTTGTCTTAATTCTGATTCTCAGGAGAGCTTTGGTCTGTAATAAACAGTGTTTGTGAGGCACAACCTACCAACTAGTAGGAAACCTCTGCTGTCTCCGGAAACGTGGGAAAGTCTTCTGGACTTAGATGCAGGGACCGTCTGTGGGAACAGCTCATTTATGACAGGGCTGGATAGCTCAGCAGCCCTTGGGAGAGTCAGGCTCAGACATACAGAGGAAGACCCAGAAACCACAGGGTTGGGAAGATGTTGGATTCCTCCTGTCAGAAGCTGCTCTTTGCACCGAGCTGGCTCTGACAGCACAGTGTCAGCAGCACTCGTGTGCTGCTCTGAGCTGCTTCTCTTCCCCTGCAGGCAGCTGCTGTTTGCCCCCAGGTCGAGGCAATGTTTTCTTCTGATGCCAATCAGAAGAAGAGAATGGAAGAGATGCACATTGGTGTCACCCAGGATGGGCTTTGTGTGGTGAGGATGTTCAGCTGAGCAAGGCTCCCTGGCATGTTCCTCCTGCCCGCAGCTGCTTCCTTGTCTCCCTGCCTGCATTCCTGGGGTCTGAGACATGGCTGGCAGGGTTCTATTTCTAAAAGCACACGAATGAGAAGAGCAGTGATGCAGGAATAACCTTTTACCCCACCTCCCAAAAGCCTGAGGAGGTGAGTTCGGTAGCAGGCTCCGTGGCACTGAATTGTTTCCTTGAGCTTGGGATTTCTTTGTGCTGTAGGCTGAGAGCAGCCTTCACTTCTGAGGGTCAGCTGCAGGAAATGCCTCCACGTGCTACTATGTCCAGCTCTTAGAGCTCTTCTGTGATGGTTGACAAGTAGTGTTTTTCTTCTGAGAATGTGTTCTTTTTTCCTCAGTGGGTTTTACCAGTTGTTGTTTCTCACTAGTACTGCATGCTTGTCAGGCTTTATTTCTCAGAAGAGATAATGAAGTCTATTTTCCTGTTCTGTGTACCAGGGCACATGTCTGATGGATCTAATTAGGCTAATACAAAACTCTCCAGATTACCAAATATTGTTTCATTAAGGAAATGGTATTTGAAGTCATATTTTTATTGGCTGAATTGTATTTGAAGACACAGTGGATATGTGTTAAAGGAGAACACAAGGAGAATTCAGTATGACTAAGACTGTTTCTTGCTGTTCAAAAGCATCTGCCCAGCCTCTGCAAAAAGGAAAGTATTGCCATCACCAAGGGCAGGGTTTGTGTGCTTGTAAATGTGACAGACTGTCCATAAGCTGGGCTTTCTAGGAGGGAAAAGCAAAAGTGTTTTATCAAATCACAAAATACATAATGTGAGCAAGTTTTTAATATCTAATGGTGTTGTCTTACAGACTCTGGTTTTGAAACGGGTTTTTCTTACTTAGATGTTTAAGTGAAGTCACAGTAAAGTTAATTTACATTTGGCACTGGCATAGAACAGCTGTGATTCTATAAATTCTTAAGATAACTTTTCTGCTTTTAGTTAGTTGAAGATTTTTATGTTGAAATGGTAAATTACATGTGATTACCAACAAAAACTGAAATTAGCTGAGAGTATAAAGTCTCTATAAGATAATGATTTGTCACTAACAGTACAGTGACTGAAGAAATGGCAATTACTCTGCACTTTAAGGTCTGTCTGGGCTAAGTAATTGGCATTAATAAGATGTTTCACTCTTAGAATCAATGCTGACAGTGATTCAGCTCTAGCAGCAGATGGATAAAACAGGTTTCAATACCTTTGAGTTCTGAGAATTTTCCTGTTAGGATATGTTGTTTATTCCAGCATGTTGGAAGTTGAACAACAGCTGGTCATTGTCCTGGTGGTGATAAATGCTCATCTGAAGCTCCTGGGGTTTTAATAGCATAAGAGAGAGACTAATAATCAGATATATTTCATCTACCTCTAGTTATAAGCACAGAAGAACCACTCGTGTTTGAACTTAAATCAGTCCTTAGAAATACCAGATGTATTCACTGTAATTGGATATTCTATGTAATAAATGAGCATTGATAAAAGTAATAGAAAGAATTGTTTGTAGAGCTATGCAGAATATTATTTGAAATATAATTTTTGCCAAGTTAAAATAAAACATTTCCCCAAGCTTAAAAGAATTCTGAACTGAGGCCCTTCATATAAGCAATGGAGTAGAACTACATTTGTTTAAAGAATAAATTGTGTAAATGTTCATGCAACAAGAGACCAAAAAGATCAGCGAAGACTTTAAATAGTCTTTCATTTTTGTCCACAGTGAAATGTTTCCAAGTTAAGATGAAAAAGAATACTAAAATGAATTACTGTTCTTATGTGACTTGAAAACCATTATAACCAGTGGGATTTGTTTAGGAATTTCAAAGAAAATATGTCTCCATTAATTAAATTCTTCATGCAGCTGTATCAAAATATAACTCATTGATTGTTTGTACCCACTTCCAGTTAGCTTTTTTAAAGGAATTTTTAAGCAGTAGTCATATTTCCAAGAAGAGAGAGATTCTAGTCTGAATGATGGATTACAAGGCTGTGTTTTTTAAGGTATGCATTATCTGATAAATACTCCACCAAAATACAGTATGAGTGTTACCTTTCAGGTTCTTGGCTGTGTGCAGTAAGTTTCTTTTATATGTAGAGTATAAAACTACCCCTGTTGTGTGTACATGTGTGTATGAGGGAAGTATAAATGATGGCTGATTATTATACATGGTTTCATTTCTCTGGTTTTACATGGCACTCTTTTGGTAGCAAACTGTATCAGGGTGCTTATAATACATAAAGGTGCAGAGCTTTTAAATGTAGCTCACACCACACCTTAATTAATTGTCAATCTCCTAATGATCTTTACCAAATAGCCAGGTTGAACTGTCCTGTATATGTTCTAGTAATGTTGTTTGGTGTTCCTTATGCTTAAAATTTCCAGTTTGGCCATAAGCTTCCTTGTCTGGATACACTTCAAAGTCAGATTTATATCACATGTCAAGCACAATAAGGAACTTTGTGTCTGCAGTTTTTTATCAGCTTAGAAGGGCACTGCCAGAAATCTTGCTGCATCTTGCAAAAAGGGTTGTTGTGAAGAGAGTGAGGTTAAAAAAAAAAATCCAGAGGATTACAAATGTGAAATGCTTGAAGGTTATGAAATGAAGCCTAGAAAAGGGGTGCCTGGTATCACCATGAACCTGCATAAGGTTCACATTTAATGCAGATGAACTGTTTTGCCATGACACCTGTGCTTCACTCAGTGCAGGGGACACAGTTTGTGTTCTTGGCTTCTGCACAGGAGTAAAACAGAAGGCAATTTTCTGCACAGCTGAACTGAGAAGAAAGTCTGCATTTGAACTTGATCTTGACAGGGCTTTCATGAGGTGCTGGGGTCTCTGCTTGTTGATTCACCTGCCCTCCTCCCCCCATTCACACAAACCAGCACAGGAGGAGTACACGAGCAGGAGCTGCTGTCACACAGCACACAAACACAGATGTAGTGATGTGAAAAATATTAAAGCAGAAAATACTGCACACTGCTGTTAGTAGACAGTGTAAAATGTGGCTGTAGGAAAGGAGTGTAAGTCTGAATAGCTTTTCTCCTGAAGATGAAAAGAAGTGCTGTTTTCACTTCCAGCATAATGAGTTAGTACAGGATAATTACCTCTTAAGTTAAATATTTCTGATATAAAGCAAGCAGTATGTACCAATATGTCAAATGCCCTATAGAAAAGCCAGAATGGTGCACTAGGCAGCTCAGATTTTATAATAAAATCACAGATGCTCCTATTAAGCTGGAGCCTTAATACAGCTGAGGGTTTACTCCTAGTGTTGATTGCCATTTCTTTTCTCAATCACATAACAGATGGCAGCTGATCTATTGTGAAAGCAAGGCAAGGCAGCTCCTCCCTCATAAAAAACACTCAATTTTTAGATCAGCACTGCCCAGTTTTGCAGACAGGCAATGCGAGGTTCACAGTGTTTATGTCCAGCCCAAAGCCACACACTGTCACACCCCTGGCTACAGGAATGAGCCTGTGGTTTCCCCAGTGCCTGGAATGCAGCTGTAGCAGTACCACCTCAAGGATGATTAAATTGAGGCAAATCCCAAGGACTGGCTGCACTTCACCTTGCTGTGCTCTGTGTCAGCATGTGCTTGGAGGTGTTGTGTTCATTTTGGAGAAGTTGCATCCATTTTGTGTGAAAAAGAAGGAAAAGCATCTGCTTGAGATGACGATGGGGAAACAACCAGTTTCCTCTTCCTACCTCCCATCCTCCCTTGGTGGCCATATATAGTAACAGCTATTGCCACTTTGGCAATGCAGATATAAGGCTGTGGATTTGTCAGTTCTGACAAAATAGATGGGAAAACTGGATATCTATATAAAAAGGGGCTTTGAGGAATAATAATAATTTCTGTTGCTGCACAGAGCCAAGGAGTAAATGACCCCTTCCATGCTGTTGCAAAATACAAATAAAGCCTGACAAAGTCCACCAATGCTCTAAAACAAGCTGCAGGTGCATTGTTAAGGCTTTTGGGCCTTATGGATTGAATAATAGAGATGAAAAAATGCAGTTGCATTTTGACTCTCCCTTGAAAGGCTTGTGCTCTTGCTGCTGCAGGCCCTGCTTTGCTGGTGCAGCATTTACCAGTTTTGCTTCCTTGTGTGTGGTGTGGAGGTGGCAGATGAAACTGTGGATGTTGCAATGAGCTAGGCTGCCCCTTCACTTGTTCCAGCCCAGGAGCATGCCTTCTTTGTCCCAGCCTTCCTGTTCCCTGGCCCAGCAGAGCAGTGCCAGACTGACACAGTGTTTGTAGCATTGTGCATTTGGGAATGCCTGTGGCACAGTGGGGAAGGGGCCAGCAGGCAGGGAGAAGCCTCCTTGCTATCCCATACCAGTGCTGAACTCCCAAAGGTGCTCCCAGCTCATTGCTGGAGCCAACCCACTCCCCTCCAGCTGCTGTGGGGCAGGAGTCTGGGATAAGTAGTAGGCACTTGCAAACTAAGTCTTAATGAAAGGTCTCAGGTTATTTGCATTACCTGGTTTCTTTGTACAGCCCCTTCAAGATCCAGTATTTGTCAAACACTAAAGACGTGTCCTTTAAGTCCTCAGTTAAGCAAGCTTTTCCCTTTTACTCCCTTTATTTTCCTACAGTCAATTGCTTCAGCAGACATGGATTTGAATCAGCTGGAAGCTTTCCTCACTGCCCAAACCAAAAAACAAGGTGGCATCACGTCAGATCAGGCTGCAGTCATTGCAAAATTTTGGAAGAACCACCGGACTCAAATCCACGAGAGCCTGATCAGTCAGAGCTGCTGGGATAATGTCCTGAAAAACATGAACTGGAGAGTGGACCTGAAGTCACAGCTGAGGCACATTGATCAGATAAACACTCCTGTTGCAATAGTTGAAATGGAACTGGGAAAAAATGGGCAGGTAAGCTTCCTTTTGCAAAATACATGAACCTGATGTAGCTACACATGCACTGAGGCATATTACCTATTGCTGAATTCACTGCATCCAGATCAAGGCACTTAATTTGTCACCATTGGCCCTTTAATGGACTTGAAATTGGGGTCCATCTTTGGATACAAAGAAACATTCTGGGTGGTGAATGCAATTTTTCATTTTTTTTCATACCTTCACATATGTATTGACAGCTCTCTTTTCATTAAGCTTGAACAATCAGAGGATGTAGAAATCAAACATGATCTTATCATTCCGTTTGTATATTGTGCACTGCAAATGCAATTAGTCTTTTTTTATTTTAATTTAACACTAAAATTAGTTAAGATATGCAAAGTAGGAACTGAAAAAGAGTAAAGTTCACAAATTACATTTTAGAACAAATGAGGGGAAAGGCTCCTTTTTATTTTACATAACACCCATTCTTATGTTACTTATTACCTATCACATTATGCAATCTGGCCTTATCTGCCTGAAAGATATCTTTATACATACACACACACATATATATATATGTATAGCTCTATCAGTGCCGAACATTGCCTTCCTTTTTTTATCTTTATAGTCCATAGAAATGTATAGCTAAAGGCGCAGCTTCTCATTTTCACATTTGCTGTTGTTTTCTAACAGGAAATGTGCTTCATTTTGGTATCTTTTCTCTCTGCACTGTTTTAATAAATTTCAAAACCTCATTTCTTAGCAGTAGCTACTGCAAATCATGCCATGAGCTGATGTGGGGATTTTGATGTTAATAGTTAACATTTAGCAAGGTTCCTTGTATTTCATAGTATTTTAGTAGCAAGATTGCCTGAATTAAGAATACCTCAGTCCATACACCTGGAAAATACGTGTGCATAGGAATGATTGAATTCCAGCTGTGTGGCTAAGCCAAGACCAGGATGAAGGTACATGAAATCAGAGGTCCTGCAGAGACAGAAGGTATTGTTAGAGTCAGTCTGTTAGTTCACTTTTCTTTGCAGTCAGTGAAAGCTGATCATCCCTGAGCCTTCCACCCATGGATCTCTGCAGTGACCAGTACAATAATGGTGTGTGGCTTCAGGTTTTTTCCTGACCTCAGAGAAGTGGAGTTTTCTGCTCAAGATCTTGAGATTGAAAATGATTGTGTTCTATTAGCAGCAAATGGAGAAAAGGTTGCTTTGAATAAAAAGGTTACAGGGAGCACATTATAATGAGTACATTGAGTACATTAGTGAGCAAATGGGAGAAATACCTACATTCATTTAAAAATGCATCCTTTAACTCAGAATCACTGTTTTGTTTCACAAGGGGGTTATGTAGTTAGTGACTCCTCTTTTGAAACTGTTTTTTTCCCCAGTAATGGATTTTACAGTAATATCAAGCAGCAAGGATATTTATATTTCTTTCACCCTCTGCAGAGAGAGTCAGGGGATGGAGGAGGACTACACATTTCTGAGGCACACAGAAGAGCCCCACAACAAAATCAAAATTAATTATTTTAGCAATGCACCTTCATGCTGCAAAGGGAAGTGGTTGTGTAAATGCATTTTTGGAACTGCCATCAAACACAATTTTGCCTCCTTCCCTGAGGATGCCAGTGAGCTGTGGCAAGCCTGACACTTGGTGTGAGTTAAACTGGTATTTACTGGAACAACCATGGAGTAATTAGCATGGTCACCTCTGGAGTCAATGTACATTTATTCTAAGACTCTGGTTTCACATAGCCTTTGGCTGTGGGTTAAGTAAGTTGTCTGCTGTAAATCTTTGGGTTGAGGCACTCTGCATCAGGCTGTATGCTCCTGTGATGGGATGAGTTTTGGGAAGCCACAGGGCTTTGGGGACCTCCTGGAAAGATTGGTCACAGAGACTCCTGCTGGAGGTTGAAAAAGTTGTTGTTGCACACTGGATCCAGCCCACTAACTTGAAACTGTCATGTTTTATAGTCTTTATAAGTATTTTTACTTTATTGTTAGCACATCTCTTCTAAATATCGAGTCTTGTAGCACATCAAATACACATATACTGGTATCTTTCTTAAGTTTAGCAGAGAACATATTTTCTAAACAGTTGTCAGCCATAGATGGGATTTGATGAATAATGAAGATCTGGCTTTGAAGAAGAAAGCTGGCTGATGATTCAGGAGTAAATTATTCACAACGGACTGTTTTCATTTGGACATATGATAACAGGGGAATATACAAGTGCATTGATATGTAATGAATTGGCATGAATATTTCATGGTTCAACAGAAGGAAAGAAATGCTTTGTAGAAAATGTACCTTTCCAGAAGTCACTCTGATTCTTCTCAGTGTCTCTGGGTTGGATTTAGGTCTCTGCCCAGCAGACGGCCGGGCTGCTTGGTGGAGCATCTTCTCCTTCTGCCTCAATAAATAACTTTGCTTCCTGCTTGCCTTCTCTGAATTTAAGGCAACTCTTTCATGAGGGGAAGACTCTGTGTGTGAAACCTGATGTGGTTGGATATGGGGAATTAATTGGAAGTGGCTGGTTCATAAATGCCACTAGACGGAGTGCATTTTGCCAAATTTTGTAAATGTTTTCTGGCTGGAGAGAGCTGCTTTTGGGTTTGAGAATCCATCACAACTTGCATACATTAATTCTTGCTAGCCTTGCCATTACTGATAAAGGAAAAAAATGAACCCTTTTCCCTAAGTGCTCTTAAAAACACTTCTAATTAAGAACATTTGAAAATAATATGCTGCAAAAACATGATTCCCAAAGTCTTCACTTTGGAAAAAGTGATTCAAGATCTGTAAATTGGAGTTTGAACTCTTCTTCAGTAATGATTTTACAGCAACATTAAAAGTTTCCTTTATGCTGGTTTTGTAGTCTTTATAGATCCTGGCAGATCTATATTAAGATTAAAGGCAGATGAACATGCTAGCCATCAGCTTTGAAAGCCCATTTTCTTTAACAATATGACTAAAAATAAAATGGTAAAGCAGTTGCACTTTAGCCTGCATTTGCCTTCATCTTGTGATATTTAGTGCTCATTGCTCCTGGTTCATTTTTTCCATTTGAACAGCTCATCTTTTCTTTGGCACAATGGTTTTATCCTCTTGGGTTTTTTATCTACCTTGCTGGCTTTCTCTTAAAACATCTGTAGCTACCTGTCCCCTTCTTTATGTCCTTTTTTATCTTGTTCTCCCTCTCTGAGCGTGTCTGTAAAGCTCTTTTGGCATGAAGTTTCAGCCAGACGTGAATCTGCCCAGAGGGATGGGAGAGTGAGCTGGAGCATCCTCCTCATGCCCTTCCTGCCCCTCTGCACCAGCACTGCTCCACGTGGTGGGCAGCCACTGCTGTGCAGTGTTGACTTACCTGCACATTTCAGTCCCAGATTTATACCTGACCTTGCCCCTGACAGAAAATTAATGCATTGCTTTTGCACCGTGGCTTGGCACTGAGATTATATTTCAACTTGTTTTCTGGACTTTGTTGTGTTATTTTCCTCATGAAATCTGCCTCTCCCCTGGGGTTCTGCTCTTCCTGTGGGCTGATTTGCCAATAAGTTTTACTTTCTTTTTATAAATATATAGCATTATATATTTTGCAATTTAATGTCTGAGACTGATCAGATATTACAGATTAACTTAGAATTTGTTTCTTTTTTTAACTTATTTATAGAATGGGTATTTCCACATACATTTATTTTCAGTGTTTAAGATACCAGTAATTCATGTAATATCACTTCTATTGGAGCTTTGTTGGATCTTAAAGCAGGTTTTATGATCAAGGAGTATGTTCTGCCCTGGTTTAACATGAAGCTGGGATTCTGCAGCATTCTTCCCAGAAAGACCTGAGATAATCACATCATGATTATGGATTAAAGGGTTTTTTTTCACAAAATATTGTATCTCTTCTCTTTCCTTTTCTAAAAGCCTCTACCTGACAGAGAGGTCATCACAGTTAATGATATACAGTAAGTAAATACCACAATATAGCAAATACCAGAAGCTAAATACAAGGTAAGAAATTAGGATCATTTCTTTCAAAGTTAAGGGCAAATGAAAGCAGCCTTTCACTCTCTGGTCTGAAATCACCAGGGATATGTATCTTCACAAAAAACAAGTGTTTTTCTTTAAAGAACTGGTAGGCATTAGTAACAGCCTTTTCAGTGAAAGTCTGATATTCATTACTTACAATTATATTTTGATTGTCACTTTAAACTCTCCCCAGTGAGATAAAATACTTTCTGATAAAAGGACTTTCTGAGTGAAGTGCACCTTTGCCAATGCAACAGCATCCTTGATGCTGAAAAAGTAGGAACTGTCAGCTGGCAGTTTACCTACTGTCTGCTGGTGGCTGGGTCCAGAACCCTGGTAATTCAGAGAAAATAATACTACCAATAATAATAATTCAGGGAATAAGTCTGTAAATTCATGTGTGGAAAGAGTTCATAAGGATTCTAGACAATTGCCATGCGCTGTATGTTGGAGATAACAGGCTACCAGTATTTGGAAGGTCTGGAGCTTGACATTTCATCAGGTTTTAGTTGCAATGATTATAAAGGTTTAATTAATGTTTTGAGAAGGAGTAAAGTAGGTCTCAAAGTAAACTTCTGGGAGATTAATTTTTTTTCTGACTTGTTAATTATGTCCATGCTACACAAATCTAGTCTGAAATTTCTATAATCTGTGCTATAAACAAATTATATTTATTTATAGCATTCACATATGAGCACGTTTTCACAGTGTAATCTTCTATAAAAACTCATTCCCTTGCTGGGAGTACAGACTGAATGCTGCTGTGGTGGTGTTTTGTGCATTTTTCTGAGCCATTTTTCCCTTGGCTGTTGTCAGCTACAGTTATCCCCAGCCATGGCTGTTGCTGCTGCAGGGAGGTCAGACCAAGAGTCCATCAGGAGTACACTCATGCTATGGGGAGGAAGGATTATAGCTGTGCCTGCTTTTGCCTCTGTGTGACTCCAGCTCAGGCTGCTTCAGAGGTATGGCTGAAAATAGCCCCAGATAATG